TATGTAATTATATGTATATTTATATATACGTATAATTATATATATATGTGTTTAATAACTATACAATTAAACTTATTTGATATCCTGGATGTCCTAGTTTGGGGGAGCGCAGGAACTGCACCCAGAATTTGAAGGTCATGTAAAGCTCTGAGCTGAAACCAATCATGAAGGGCATGATTGCTATGTGCACCAAGTGTTTTTGGCACAAAGACTTCTCCTGGCCTCTAGTCAGCTACACAACATGTTCAAATTAAGTCGACCCTACTATTTTCCTGGTGCTCTGGTAGAATATCTGCTACGCGAAGAGTCCTGACTGGTGAAGGCATTTGCCAAAAGCCAGAGCCTCCAAGTTGACTGCATTTTTAAGAACCGGTTCAGGCTCTTGGAGCAGCAGCTGTTTCACCCTGAGCGATAGTCAGTGCGCATCAACCAGATGATCACCAAAGAAGCTCGCTCAGACATCCAAAGATTGCTCTGTCAGCGTTTCACGTGTTGGCGAGATTCCCCACTACTTCCTGCATCGCCTCCTGTATATCATCCCCATCATTGTTGTCAAAGTAAGAAATGCCCTTACAATTCCTCACACATCCCTTTCTTAGTTCAAAGGCATGTTATACTTCTGTAAGGGACTGTCCGGGACTGCACAGTTGGCATGGCTGTGCATGCGAAATCTGAATCCTTACGAATGTTTTTGCCTTGCCTGGCTGGAGCTGGCAAGGCCATTGCCAAAACGTGCCTATGTATGCCTGGTGTCATATATGAGTAACCGACAATTAGCGGAAAACTAAAGTAGTAGGGAGTGGACTTGGGATGTTCAAATTTGTGTAAAAACCTTCACAACCTATAGGGGACCACTCACTTTGGCCATGTCCATTGCGAATAGTAAGTAATTTTGTCCGCCACTCATATGTTGCATCATGTTGCACCATTCACTGCCAAGACATGTCATGCAGGGGTCTGTTGAGCTAGAAGCATAGCAAAACAAGATGAACGGAGGGGGCCTTGAAAGCCCAGCAGAAGACTATGCAAAGTCAAGCGGCGGGTGCAGAGGGTCCAGGTCCAGGCTGGTGGCCATGGCTTGCGGCGATGCTCCGCCTGGCGAGATGGCTGGGGGCCACCAGAGGGTACACCATGGCACACCCAAGGAAAGTACTCGGGAAAGTACTGGGGAAAGTACTCGGGAAAGTACTTGTACTATCTCGTAATTACTTGGGTGATTTGGAACGCATTTGGATCTGCAAATTTTGGCAAGATGACTGAACAATTCTGGAAACTGGGATCAAACATCAATGCAACCAATCGAAGTCAGAGACCCAGAACCGATGCACTGATGACTGCTAACCTGCTCAAAGTGACTAAAGTGATTCATGGATAAGCTTGTCCGCTCAATCCACTTGATGTTTTGCTTTATATTTTCAGCTGTTTTTGATCTTGATCTGTCATGTCATGATCTATCTTGCTCTGTAGTCGCATTTCAGCATGCACATCGGTGTCGTTGGTGTCCTGCCAATATATGCAACCAACTCCAGTCAGGTCTTCCTTGACATATCTTCCACGGCGACATTCCTCAAGCCTGACAACGGAGGTGGTTTGGATCACGGAAATGGATTCGTGTGAAGCATGAGGCGTTGCTGTGGTATGCTGTGTATCAATGTGTTTCATTTTTCCCCGGCAAGCTGTCTTTCGAACGATGTTCGGATGTCATTTGCCGCACAGGACTCTGCGTGGCGGCACCTATTACCAACGGATGCAAAGTTTGGTGACCCAGTTGCCAAAGGTCTTGAGTTCACAATCCTTGCCCTTGCTTTGGAGCCAAGCTTGTCACCAACATATACCAACATGGTGATGTCCAAATGAGAGCTAGTTGGACATAGAGGTACAAATGTGGACCAAGGATGACTTAAATTGACTGATCAAAAAATATTGAAAAACTACATAATCGTAAGAAAATACAATTTACAGTGTATTATATTTATATGCGATAAGATAAGACTTCTGCTCGCCTTCAGCTTCTGTTGAACTCCTTGAGATGGCGATGGAGAGAGAGAGAGATACGATAAAGACTTATAGAATCTTATGGATACATTTATCGATACATGCGATACATGCGCTTCTCTTACTGTTGCCGCGTTGCCTTCAGCTCCGAAGCGCCTGCGCAGATTCCACATTGTGCGTCACGACACCGATGGTCGCGGAGGTGGCAGCTTTCTATTCGAGGCCCTGGGGGGAGTCCGAAGATGTCCGAAGGTGATGGGTCCGGCAAGGAGGTCCCAATTCAAAGTGGAGAAACTGGCTTGAGCTTGACATAAACTTAACAGCTCCAATTCAAAGCAATTTAGTCCTTTTTCCTTGATGTCCTTGAGATATCTTGAGATGCTCCCAGTTTGTCACAGGCAATTTTAGAGAGTAGTGACTAGTCTATGCGCGCGCGCACACAGAAGAAAAATGTATAAACATACACATGTAATTTGGTATGATCATGTATCGCACACAGGTATGTTCATCATACACACGCAAACATAACATGATATGTATATGTACACACTAATATAATCTAATATATATATAAACAATAATATTAGTTAATGCATATTTTGCACATGTCAATGTATATATCATACGTTAATCCGTATCATAATTGCACTCAATACATACATACACATACAATCACACACATATATATATATAGTATAATACATAATAATATATAATAATAATAGTAATAATAATAATGATAATGATAATAATAATAATGATAATAACATGATAATAATAATAGTATTTAATAATAATAATGATAATGATAATAATAATAATATTATATATATATTATACATGCGCAATCATGCACACATGCTTTTGCGACACTTATATTTGGTACAAAATCCTACACTGTGAATACTGTGCTAACAATTGTCCTTTGTGGTTCCTCCCCTGCAACGGATGTGACGGATGTTGCAGCGCAGGCGCAAGACCCCCAACGCTCCGGCGGGCGGCCATTGCGGGCGGAGACTGTGATCATCCCAAGGCCCAGGAAAATCCCAGGGCATTTCCTGATCTCCTAACGCCTGTCTGACAAGATCATGCAAGGAAGAAGAGGGCTTTCCGCAAACCATTCCATCAAGTTTCGCAAGTTTCTAGATGATGTCTACTTTGAGCCGTTCAGAAGCACAAGTGGCAAGTGACATTACACATTTCGGATTGCCGGAGGCACCTAAGGCCGTGGGAGCTTAAGCCTCAGGGGTTTTGAGGGGTTATGACGAGATGGCGGCCCAACCACTGGTGATTCTTCATGTCTACAGCATCCTTCTACAGTTCACTAGTGGGTTTTCTGTGCTGGAGTGATTCATGGACCAGGACAACGTGGTAATTTAGACGAATGCGTATGTCATCGTGCCAGCGGATATTGTTCACTTGTTCTTTTGGCATTCTTTTGGCATTCTGGACCTGGAAAGTCAGTCTTGCAAAGCGGTGATTTCATGTCCGAGACTTACAACAAAGCACTTCCAATGTCACTGACTTCTGCCGTGGCTTGCTTGAGGGAACACGAAGACGTAGAGCACTCAAAGAGCAACGATTCTTGCGGCAGCAATGTCTAGAGTTACAACACCGGAATCCCTCTAGGATGCTGAATTCAGGAAATATTTTTTTTACGATTTTAATATGGTTTTGGATACGATTTGACGATATGAATTTGATATGCTTTGAATTTGGGGTTATGATTTCGATATGATTTTGATATGGTTTTGATACGATTTTGATACGATTTTGATACGATTTTGATATGATTTTGATACGGTTTTGATATGGTTCCAGCGAGTTGGCTTCAAAAAAAGAAACAGAAACAGCGCAGGGATAGGTTTTTGGTCGATGTTTCGAGGATTTTTATGGTTTTGGTATGATTTTGATATGGTTTTGATGCGATTTTGATACGATTTTGATACGCTTTTGATACGATTTTGATACGGTTTTGGTATGATTTTGATCCGGTTTTTATATGGTTCCAGTGAGTTGGCTTCAAAAAAAGAAACAGAAACAGCCCAGGGACATGTTTTTGGTCGAATTTTCAATGGTTTTTAGGGTTTTGGTATGATTTTGATATGGTTTTGATACGATTTTGATACGATTTTGATATGATTTTGATATGGTTCCAGTGAGTTGGCTTCAAAAAAAGAAACAGAAACAGCCCAGGGACAGGTTTCTGGTCAATTTGTCGAAGGATTTTGTGGTTTTGATATGATTTTGATACGATTTTGATACGCTTTTGATACGATTTTGATACGGTTTTGATACGATTTTGATATGGTTTTGATACGATTTTGCAATAGTTTGGATATTGTTCCGATGGGTTGGCTTCAAATCACAAGTTTGACCCACATCAAGAATCATAACTGAAACCATATCAAAATCATAACTGAAACCATATCAAAATCATAACAGCAAAACCAAGCCATAAACAAATCATAACAACAAATCATATCTGAAACGTATCAAAATCAAAAAAAAAAATATTTTCAAAAACCTTCATCCTAGAGACTTCGGATGTGGTAAGTCTAGAGTCTATGGCATCAGAACGGAGTACATACTGTACCCCATGACAAAACATGTTCTTGGCCAGTATGGAGTTGTTCACTCCAAGTCATATAGAACTTCAGCATATTGTTGTTTATAGATTTACATATATAGTCCACAGTGCTCATTGTCAGGTTTGCATCAAGCCATTCATTCCTGCAGAATTGAGCTTGGCTCAAACAAGACTGTAGTACTCAGATGCTAAGTGTGTATAAGATTGTAAATACGTGAGAATACATTGTCGTTTTCCCTATTTCCTATTTCTGGCGTTTCTGGTCACATCATTCAATATTATACCCTACGGGTGTACAAAAAGGAGCCCATGAGCACTATTTATCGGAATAACCAGTTAGCTTGTTGCCGGACAGAGCTAACAACATTAACATCAAAAAAAATCATGGCAATGACGCGGGGGACACGTGAACGCCATGACTGATGCCGCCCTCAGCGATGGTGACAATCGGGCGAAGGGTTTGAACCTTCTTTCAAGGCGAGGATTTGCAGGCTGAACGATGCTGAAAGATGCTGAAGAAGAAAACTTGGCCAGTAGCAGTGCTGAGCAATGCTGCTGAGGCTATTCTCGCTATTCCACGCAGGGCATTTTCTACCTTTTTCATCCTGTTTCTACAATCTCCTCAATTCTGCAGTGATCAGGTTCCAGTAGGGGTTATATGGCGTTATTCAATGTTATTCATTCGCAGCCCTGCAGGGCTTTGAAGGTGGATCCTGAGACGAACGAGTTGGAAAGTGCCTTTGCTGAAGCCCTTGCAGCTTGCTTTGCCCAGCGCTTGGAGGCCGTGACACGAGACAACATGAGCGGAAGACTAACTAGGAATGACTAGGAGACACTACAGGTGTATTTCCGTATAAGGGATACACCATTTTGCTTATTTTTTGCTTGTGGTTGCTTGATGCTTCATGTTGCACGTTTTTCCAGTTCATAATACTGGACTCGCGCTCTGTCACATATCTTGAAACTTACACAAGTTTTCTGAGTGTGCCATTTGTTTCTTTTCCAGGTGGCTGCATGGCTTTGGGCACACCAGCAATGCAATGGGACCTCTGTTGGCGACCAAGCTGGGCGCGCCATTCGGCTCTATCGTCAGAAGATTCGATGCCTGGCAACAACCCTCGGCGCCTGTACACTCTGTGTTTTTTTTTTGGGGTGCATATGTTCAGACATATACAAATCATAATGTGCTAGATCACGTTGGTCAGGTGCTTCTATCAAGATATTCGATCTGGTTCATTATAAATATCCAACACTTTCAAAGTTCAGCTCTTTCAAAGTTGTTTGGAAGTTCTGCACTCCATCAATGACAATGGGAACATAGAAAAGTGGATGGCGTAGACACTTCGCTCAGCTACTTTTCACTCAGCTACTTTGGTCAAGACGGGAACTGGGATGGAACGCCTTGCAGTCAACAGTTTCCCAGAAGGTCCGCGAAGGTCTTCGATCCAGATTTCCGAAGAATGATCTTTTATACTTTTGAACCTTTGTATAGTTACTGCATATAGATTTGGCTGTTGTTGTAATTGTGCATCCCAAGCCCGTGCATCCTCCGTGCGAAGTAAGGATTCTTGATGAGTGCCCCCTCCGTTTGCATAGCACTTTTTCCTTTTTCACAGATGGGTAAAGGTTGCTATGGGTTACCATAGGTTCATATATATGTGGATGACATTGCATGACCACGTGCTCAAACCATTCTACGTTCAGCGCAGAAAAGCATGGTCCTTCTCGGCACCGCATGCAAGGTGCATTTAAGCGGCCAGAGAGCCACTCACTCTTGCGAAATGTTCTGACCTCGGATGCATGATGGGCTACGGCTACGGTTTGTTCTTAAGGCGCCAGGTCACGTCTAAAAAACATAAAAAACGGTTTGGAGTGCGGAGACAAAACCATCTAGCGGTCGCGCGGCCCTTTGTGCCCTTTACAAGATTTCACGATGCACACCATCCCACTTGTTTCTGAAGATTTTGAAGTAGTGGTTTTTGTCTTAAACTTCATTAAATTTCATTAAACTTCTGCTGGGGTTTCAATTTGATCCAATTTGGAGTACTTCGCAGGTCTCAGCAACTGAGCTGGTTGCAAGGCCAGAGGAGGACCATCCTCCAGGGACTCCAGGGACTCCAGGGACCCTCTTCAGGCATCTCAGGGCAGATGGCAGCATCGGAACGCCAAGGGATCAGGAAATATATCGAGATATCATCATTATACGATATCATTTGCTTATATCATCTTATATCACTTATATATACTTACTATAAATTACAGTATTCATTCTTTATAATGAGATCGGAGGACTTTCTGGACGAAGCCCAACGACAAGCGAGAGCCAAACACAGACAGGAGGCGATGTCTGAGGTTTGCTTAAAGGAGCGTCTGGGATGTCTGGGTCAGTTCAAGATTCCAGGACGAGGAAATGAGAATTGAATGGTACTATATAGATTTATTCTGTTGTGAGATCAGGAATCTAATCAGATGGGAGTACAATTGGGTGTCGGAAAAAACGGAAATGCCTGGAATATCAACAAAATCAAATGTCTTAAAAAGAAAGAACAGCAAACGGACACAAGAAAATATGCGATGGAGAGAGAACAACGAATAAAAGCAATTAGAAACACAAACTTCTTGGATCTTCTTGGGAGAGGTGCCCCGACGGATTTCCTTCTAATTTCCTTTAATCTTCTTGGCGAATGGTAAAGGATGGCGAAGGTGACTTTGGGACCTGGGACTTTCCTGACTTTTGGTGTCCAGAACATGAACCAAAACCTTGGGCTGCACTAGTTTCCGGGCTCAAGATGGCAGCAATGCGTGAAACCATGTGACACCAATGGCAAAAAGAGCAGGGTACCTGTATACAACAATATATACACTGTACCAGAATGAACAACATACATTCATGAGTCATACATGGTATACTAAGTACTACATAACATTACATGCATACTGCATACTGCATACTACAAAATAAGTTCAGATCATATTATAATGATCAAGGCAGGCTTTCAACTGTATTCTTGACCAGGCCTTAGACAAAGGGTGGGCTTCATGGTAGTACTGATTATGAGCTGTGGAAGCGAGCCAAATTCACCCAGCAACGGTGCAACTTGGCATTTTGCGCGCTGGCAGGGGAGAATTTTGCTTGACCTGACACATCTTAAAACATCTTGAAAGCCATTATATCCCATTGTACTTGAAACCAAGGAAACAACTTCCTTGACAACCATATAATAGTCAAAAAGGACCTATTGGAGGTTGTTGTTTTGGTATGTCTTGGCAATTTTAGGTTTAAACAAATGCAGTTCAGGGTTGATTAAGATTCCACAGATCAGCAATGGTCAGGGCGGCCGTGCACATTTATGTATAATATTGTTGAATTGGTCAGATGTATGGCAATTTATGGAGTGTACTGTAATTCTCGTCTTGTTGTTTCTTTCTGTTGCCCGACCTCGAGTCTCCAATAACTATCAAATCATTTTTTAAGAACTTCTTGGAAAATTGAGCTTTTCATCCAAGCTTATGTACCACTATCAAAATCAATCTCAATGAATGCCTATGTTGAATAAGCGTCCCCCACCAGACATGGCCGAGGAATACGAGGATCCCAGATATTTAGATACTCGGCAGTTTCTCATGCTGCAGCGGCTGCTTCAAATTCGACTTGTTTGCCATTCCTCAGCTGACGCTCCCAAGTTTGCACCAGCATTTTCCAGGCTCCAGAGGTCAATGAATGTGGTTGTTTGATTGTTTGCCTGGCTTATGCCAGAAAACGTGACAGAAAGGTTGGATGACAGAAAACGTGACAGAAAGGTTGCCTCTTGCTGCAAATGAATGGCACGCATGGCCCAGGAAAGAATCATACCTCATGGAATTCTTCGTGTTCGCTTGCAAGAAGGCGAGGTAAATTTGGCATCGAGAGACTAGCAATGGTATCGCAAAGTTTGCAAGCTAAAAATCCCTGGATCTTTGTTGCAGTGATTTCGTCTCAATGTTTTCCTTTGGACAGTGTTGCTGCAACATGCAGTGTGTTGGCAGTCTGAGTCTGACTTTCCAGGCACAGAAGTTCCAATGGCAGGTTCTTCCCAGATTAGCCAGGCCAGTTGCAAAGGACATGCCACTGCTATTGATGCCACACGTCAATGTAGATAATGTATTATGTAGATTGTATGTAGGTGATGATGACTCTGAAATGATTGTGCAATGATATAGGAACCTTTTCATCATGCATCGCTTCAAAAGACTGGCATGGAGGAAGCGCTGGGTAAAACCCCTTCGCGTTCTGGGAGCTCTCTATTTTCATCACAGGATAGTTAATGAAGTGAACGGAGTCTTTATTGAAGGATGCCGAATGACAAGGGAGATCTGAAGGGAAATCGCCAGACATCGCAATTCAGCCAGCGACAGGCTGGGCACATCATTTTCGAGAACGCCGGCGATGTGACCTCCAGCGAAACTGAGGATGAACGCTACGAGCCAACATCGAAGGCACGAGGTAATGATCGGATAATGATTGGCAGGGTGAAAGGTTGTGACAAGTGGTGTGATATTTTGTGATTGCACTAAAGTGGTTTGTAATCTTTGATTCCTTCGGTTATTAGAACTATACGTAGTTGATGGAGGTGTGTTCGTTCATTGCTTGTAAAATTCGGAAGCTGGATGCTGCTCATAGTGGCCAGCTTCCACCACAGAGGTAGGAGGAGGGTTTTGCTGGAACCAAGGCTGGAAGTCAATCCCCAAATCTTGCCCATCAAAATCAGTCAAGGTCATGCCGTACCTCATTAGCATGGATCTGCCACAGGATCCAGCACCAGTGGATTCCAGCAAGGCTGCTTCCGTTGGATCTCTCACTCATGGCAGCCCAGCACCTTCGCTGCACTTTGCACATCTTTGCACAGCATGCATGCGGCACATTTTGCCTCTCCCGGCTGCTGTTGCACTTGTTTGCATTTCGGCCTTTTGAAGCAGTTTGTCACTTTCGCTCTTCCTACTAGATCCGTGTTCACTCGCGGCTACTCACGCAGCAAGGCTCATGTTCTGTCTTGAATAAAGCTCCAAGATGCCACTTGAGCTCACTTGCAGTCATGGAAGTGAGGCGGGATGTAGGCCCTGCGCGTTCTACCTCTCGCCACTTTGCCAGCAAAGCAAAATTGAAAAGTCGCATCCAGGATTGACACACATATTATGACACTAGTCTCGCATAGTCTCACCATGTCTTGCCTCAAAAGCGTGGGTTTGCCGCGCCTAGGTCAACTGGATGCCGGAATGGGATCGCTCTTTGGCAGCAGAGGTCCAGCTGCCGCGTGTCCCACACCTTTGGCAATCGCAGGTGATGCCCGCTGTATGATCTGTAGCAATGTGTTGCGTATGTTATAACATGTTATAACTTATAACCTTGCGGGCGCAATAATGTGCCTGATTCATCCTGATTCTATGACATTCTATGAATTTCTGTTTTTTTTGGATATGTGATGTTTGTTGTGCCTGCTTGTGCTCCGAATGGATTGCTTTTCCACTGAGGAGTGCAGCTTTTGCCACATGGACCATGCACCAGAGGAGCGGCAGCTGCCAAAGCCTTCAAGCCGACCAGCGAAGGGTAAGCGTGACAAGGTGCGGCTGAAGGTCAACGTGTGTGGGAGAGAATCATTACACTAATATACACTAATTACATATAATTACATTTAAATCATTTACGTCGTAATTTTGACGCGTGTCTATAGCACTACATCTGAGTACATATTAATATGTTATGTTATTGACATTAATATTTTCTGAGACTGCATATGTTGGCCATATTTGCACGAATTGTGTCTTCCAATTTCCAACCCTTGAATTGAAATGTGGATGGTTCGAAGGATTCAGGAAGTGGAAGATCCAGTCAACCATGTCACACCAGCCTGTCCAATCGGCGGGATTGCCACAGGACAAACGGCGGATAGCCGTGGGGATGCCCAGGTGAAACTGTGCCTGGGGTAGTGCCACCACTGTGACACTGTGACCTGTTTTGTCATGTCTTGACATTACACATGACACAGTCATGACACAGCATGGATCATGGCACAATTTATGGATCTTATGGATTCGGATTGTACTTGCACGTGGCGCTCCGTGTGATAGTTATAGGCTCAGAATTCTCCGATTTGGGGCTTTTCACATCACCATGAACTGCATTGAACCGCCATGAAGTTGGCAACACATTCTGGAAATCTACCGAATGGTCCCAGAGTGAAGGCCTGATCCGACCTGACACTGCAATCACTGCAGAAAGTACTGTATATATCTGTATATGATGTATATGATCTGTATATGAAAGTACTGGCTTCTGATGGATTCTGGAAGGTGGCTAAATGAACTGGAACGGTGTGACCGTGTGACCCTATCCTTGCTTGAGCCTGCTTGCTGCCATGGCGGAAGTTCCAGCTCCGCTAAATGACAAGCCGAGCATCCCCAATGGTGAGCCTCGCACATCAGAGGCAGAAAAGCGAGAAGAGACAGACAGTGTGGATTCAAAAGGCCACACTACTTGTAGCAATTTGATCAATTTGTAGCACTGATCAAAGAATGGATGATTGTGTATGACTGTGCTGGTCAGCCATTCTTGCAAACAGAGTCATGATACGGATATATACGGATATTTGAATACATTGTTGTTGTTTTGAATACGTTTAGTCTTTAGTACAAGTATGTGCTGGTACTGGTAAAGTACACGTTGAGAACTGGATAAGTACGGGATTGAAAACTAAGACCTGAGGCTTCCAGTCGCAAACAACGGTTTTCTTTGATCGTTTGCAAATACCTGGCGTTTTGACATTGACCCTAGGGATTTTGCAGGTATATATTATGGTCCGGGTCTGCGGCCCAGTACCCCCCCTTCCCGATGGTATGGTCCCCCCCCGGTAGCCCAGCACCCTGTAACGTAGCATCAAGTGTTTGTGCAAGTACGAGGGAAGATCTTTTAACGTAGCACCAAGCGTCTGTGCAAGTGTGCAAGTACAAGAGAAGATCTTATAACCTCAAGTTTCTGCGCAAGATCAAGAGAAGGTCTATTAATGTAGCACCAAAGTGTCTGTGCAAGTACAGGAGAAAATCCTTTCACAGACCATCATCTCGTAACGTAGCATCAAGCGTTTATGGAGTAGGAGAGAATGAGAAGATCTTATAACTTCTTTTAACGTTGCATCAACTGTTTTCGCCTGTAGAATAGAAGGTCATAAGGTCTAGAAAGTCTTGCGCATACCTACCCATATACACACATACCTACCCATGTACCTACCTACCTACCTACCTACCTACCTACGTACATACACGGTACAGGCCCGCAACCCCCCCCTGCCCCCCCCTGCGATGGTGGTGGTTCCTAGGGTTGGGTGTACTATCTCCCTGGAATCCAACTATCATGCAAGGTATCTCTGCTTCCCCGCCCCCCCCTGTGGGGTGGGTTGGGTGTAGTATGTATGTACCTACGTAGGTTGGTAGGTATAGGCATGTATGTATGTATGCATGTATGCATGTATGTATATATGCATGTATGTATGTATGTAATGTATTAATGTATGTATTAATGTATTAATGTATGTATGTATGTATGTATGTAGGTATGCATGTATGTATGTGTGTATGTATGTACGTACGTACATACGTAGGTAGGTATGTAGGTAGGTATGTAGGTAGGTAGGCCTGTATGTATGTATGCAGGAGGGGATACCAGGGGGGGATACCACTGCGGGGGGGGGGTTGCCGGCCGCCGGCCGGGACCATACATACAGACATGCGTACGCACATACGTACACACATACACACACACACACACTACCCACACTACCTACATGCCTATATGCCTACATACCTACATACCTACATAGCTACATGCCTAAAGACCTGCAGACCTACATACCTACATACCTACCTACCTACCTACCTACCTGCATACTTACATACACACAAACGCACACATACTTACATACATACTTACAACACGCATACACGCATACATACATGCATACAGACATACAGGCATACATACATAAACGCATGCATACATACTTACAAAGAGATTTGCATGCATACATGCATGCATGCATGCATGCATGCATGCAGGCATACATACATACATACATACACACACAGAGACATACATACATACATACATACATACATACATACATACATACATACATACACACACAGAGACATACATACATACACACACAGAGACATACATACATACTTACATACATACATACATACATACATGCATACATGCATACATGCATACATGCATACATACTTACATACATACATGCATACATGCATATATGCATACATGCATACATGCATACATGCATACATGCATACATGCATACATGCATATATGCATACATGCATACATGCATACAATGCATACATGCATACATGCATACATGCATGCCTACATACATACATACATACATACATACACACACACAGACAGACAGACAGACAGACAGACAGACAGACAGACAGAGATACAGACAGACAGAGATACAGAGATACAGAGATACATAGATACATAGATACATAGATACATAGATAGATAGATAGATAGATTAGATAGATAGATTAGATAGATAGATTAGATAGATAGATAGATAGATACATACATACATACATACATAATCATACATACAAGAGACCCCCCATTCCCACAGGGGGGCGGGGAACCATGACCATGACGGGGGGGTGTGGTTGCAGGCCCGTACCATATATACGTATATTATGATATATATATATGTATAGAACTATAACATAATTTGTTAACATAACATAAAACATACATATATGTATATATATATATGTATGTATATATATATGTATGTATATATATATATGTATGTATATATATATATATGTGTGTATATATATGTATGTATATATATGTATATGTATATATGTATATGCTATTAAATATATATCCCAATTATTTATAACACATACACATACATTCTATCATTTACATCTAGGGGTTTGAAAGCGCGTGTTTTCATGCTTTTGACCTGGCGTCAGGTGCTGACAGAGGCGATGGCAGAAGCAATCGCCCAAAAAGCACAAGAACCTGAGAAAGGCAAAAGGGGTCAACGACTCACAGAAATCTTCACATTCAAAAATAACATTAAAAATAAATAAAGCCATAAAACCTATAAAACACCATAAACATCATAAAACAATATATTAATGAGACTGTCATGGGCAATGTATACAGATGTCGATTCAGGTCGCTACAGCTGTTTGTAATCACATGATGTGTCATGATGTTGAAGTCGTTTTTTACTTGGGCCTTGGGCATCACCTTTTTGAACAGAATTTGAGCCGCAGCCGTCAGGCCAGCAGCCAAAGGGTTGCTCTTCCAGGCCATCCAGCACTGGCAGCGGCTACCGCTGTTTACTGTCTATTTAGTATATCATAGTATATCTATGTATAAACCTATGTATACCAATATGTATAGCTATGTAATCTAGAGCAATCGGCATTGAATTTTTCATGAATGGGTCTCAATCAGGCTCAGGCAAAAAGATACAATCAAGGACATCCGCAACATATTGTACTGTTGCATACTATATCATACTATGTTACTATGCTTCTTTGACACTGCAGGATCAGTTGCGCACGGAATTGAATTCTAGTTTTTCAGCCGATCTCCGTCCTTGGCCAGGTTGCAAAGATTTGAGCAATGCTTGGATCGAAACCTGAAATTCATAGTATTTTGAAATGTTTTCAAACATGTTTTGCTGATTTGGTGGAGCTGGCCCTGGATGAAATCAGTAAATCACTGCAACCAGGGAAGCATCGGGGAAGCCATTGAGTTGCATGCCGGTGTGTGCGTCAGCCGTATGCTAGATTGCTATGCGGCCAAGAGTCGCGTAAAAGGTGGCGTAGGTCTTGGCATTTAGTACTGTGGATATCTGTAAATGCGAAATGATGCGAACAGCATTTAATAATTCTGAATGTAGCGTCCACCTCGGACAAGACTGTTTTGGTCGGCGAAAGTGGACAACAGTTGCAAACAGTACATATACTTGGACGTAGTCTGCTGCACCCGGGGATATCCACATAGACTTGTTCACCGAGGACTGCCGTTTCCACCGAGCATTGCTCCTCTACGGTGCTTGCGACGTGAGGGCTGCGCCTTTCGATGTTGTGAGGATGGGCCCGGAGGGGCAAGGGGCAAAAGGATATGTTTCATGGCAGTCATCTCGGAGTCATTGTGGTCCTTGGAAATGTTCTGCAAAATTTGGTTGTGTTCAAGCTTCAGGCAGCTTCAGCTGTATACTCACGTCCAGGATTCTAGGCCTAGCAGTAACAAAATAATTAGTTACCAATTGTCTGGGTCCTAGATAGATTTTGGAGGGCTTGAACTCTGAGTTAACCTGTTGAAACGTGTATGGCTGTCCACATGTGCGTCCAGGCCAACAAATGTTGCTTTCGGTTCGGGAGATCCTTGGCAGCATCCATGTCGCAAGAGCATCAAGAACAACAATCCCCGAGCTTATGTTGTTGCCTACGGACAGTGATTAGGACATGCAGAAAGATAAAGGGGAAATGATATCATAAAGTTCGCACAGATCTTCTGCATATGTGCGCGCATGTGTTTATCCCTGCGGCAGCAGTGGTGCTGAAAGAGGCACAGATATCAAACTTGTTTCGATGCCACAGGTCTGGGATGCCAAATCTGCGGAAATTTCAGGCCAGATTTTATTTCGCCAGCAACTACACGTTGGATTTTGTGTCATGAAATCAAACTACATTGAAGACTCACAGCCTCATGTTGACACATGCTGTTCCATTTTTCGCACTTCTCCAATGCTCTCGAGCCTTCAATTTCACGGGGTTTGGTGCTGCCATCCCCCCTAATAATTACTCCCAATAATATGGGCCACTATTGGACCACATTTTATGATCCCACATTAAACATCATTAAACCAGTAACGTGGGATTTTAGGGGAGGGATAACGTAAAGACAGATCTGGTTGTGCGGCGAAGGAAGCTGCTGTTGATGGTCTCGCTGTCTCTGTCAATGACCCTTGCAGCATTTTATGATGCATTTTTGAGCAACGATGTATACAGGGTAGTTCCCTGCCATTACATACGTATTCTTGGTCCGTATTCTCGACTTTCTGGCACTTCATGTTCAGTTTTTGGCCTTGGCATAGGCTCCCGCAGAAACTTTGGTCACGTTTGAATGCCGCTCCATGCTGCTCCATTGAGAAGCTTCGTGCCATCTCTGAGGATTGGTGTGCTGCTAAGGGCTTTGCCGGCTGCAGCCCTCAGCACTGACAGAGGCTCAGGGGAATTGTTGAAGCCACTTATGGACTGAGTGCATAGAGGCTGATCTGATCTGATCTGATCTGATCTGATCTGATCTCTCTCTCTCTCTCTCTCTGGAACATTGAACAGCACTAACTGATGGAAGACAGACATGTAAGATCATGTAAGCCATCAAGAGCCATCAGCGGACCACATGGGGCAAGTTGCAAAGTCGCTGATGTGTCCTTTTGGATGCAGGAAATTTGCATTCGTATCCCTGGGCTTACGGTGATTACAGTTGCTTGCAGTGGCTTGGCACATGAAATTCGGACTTTGATGTTTTCAATCATCCAGGAAAGACACTGCAACTCTAGGATTGACAGCATTTACCAGGGCACTCCGGTGCTGTCCACTTCATGCCTTCGACGTCTTTTGGTTCTACTACATGGTTGCTTCTTGTTTGTGCAGCGATGTCTTCATGGCAATGTTGGCGGCCTCCTCTCCAGGCAAAACAAATGCGGTGGGCTGGAGGTGCAGTGATGAGAGCCAGCTTGTGCCAACTGATGTCGACTGCTTCTTGATACATTTTGTGTGCCAATTGGCAATAACATGCTTTCTGCACTCCATGGCGAGGCAAAAATCTATATTGGCCTGGAATCGCTGCTAGTGGATGCTCCCCAGATGTACAAGGCATGGTCGCATTGGGCTTCTCAAGTAGAGGAAGTTCCCAAAGTAGCCCAAAATGGGCAATGGATTCCAACTTGCATTAATCAATTGATATCAATTATCATTACGTGTAAGTTATGTTATATATATATATATTTATTTATCATTATTTATCATTATTTATCATATGTCGATCATATTCAATACACACACAGACACACACACACACACATATAAATATATATATATAATATATAAATATATATAATCATATATATATATAATACATATAATTATAATATATATATATATATATATCAATAAATATAAATTTATCATTTGCTTTTCGTCTCGTGTCGGATTTGTTTTCTTTCTTTTTTTCTTTTCTCACAGGCCATCCCATGGGCGGCAGATGATTGCGTGGCAAACCTGAGCTCCTTGGGTGCTGGAAGCTATTGTAGCATTTGTCGTGATGCCTCGCGAGGCTTCGGAACCATTTTTGCAGAGGGGCGCCCTGCCTTTCAGGGCGCATTTGGTTCGTAAAATGTCAATATTGTCAATGCATTTCACAATAGGCATGAGTCTCTACGGTTACCGCTACAAGGAAGGAAATATGCCTGTAATCATTTGTATCCAAACCATGTTGCCACCTTTTGAGCCTTCATGGCATGATTTGCAATTCGGCGCAGTGTTGCGAGCACAGATTTCGTGTTTTGTCACATGACCTTTGCAAGATAAATTCTTTGCTTTGCCTTCTAAATATGTCTAATCTGTTAAAGACAGGGAATGAAATTGCCAGTGTCGTTTGGCCACCTCCATAGCAATTTCCCGTTGGCAGGTTGCGCAGCAATGGCTTTCCTATCCATCGCTTGCAGCCTATTCAACCTTTGGGCAGACATCCAGCGCATGAGAGCCATGAGCCTTGGCCATAGATTTCGGTCTAGTGGCGCAGAGAATTATATAGTAGAAGCTAAGAAAACCGTAAGCATGTGCTTTTAACAAAGCCACCTTACCGCTGTTGATGGCATCAAATTATCAATGTATCCTGTGCATATAGATAGATGCAACCAGTTCCACCGTCCCGGTATATCCAGATGCTCCATTCAACTCGTTCGCGCCTAGCATGTCGAGTGGAAACACAGCAATTTCCTGCACTGCCATGGGGGAGTCAAGGCAATTCGCATGATGTGTGGAGCATTGTTTGCTGACAGCTGAGGAATGACCACAATTTCATTAAAGCAGTGGCTATTGCACCATCCTCAGTTTTTGGCATCATTGTGCACCATCATGCTGCGTGCTTCTCGCATTTTACTGTTGGCATTTGGAAAGATATGGTCGCATTTTTTGAAAGCAAAGAAGATGATAAGGTGAGCAACATCCTTGGCGCCTTACAACTCATGCTGGCCGTGTCCATCTTCCAGATGCTGTGTGTGGCAGAGTTCCCCTTGGAGGATGCAGATCAAACTTTCAGGAGCTCACCGTCTCGAAAAGGAAGAAATGCGTTTATTGCATTCTCATATGAATCATAGGGTGCAAGAAGATGTAATAAGTAGACGTCATGCAGTTCCTTAAGTCAACCCTGGTAGTTTGGTGGTAAGAATCAGCGGCGCTTCAGAGCATGTGATTGAGCTGACCAGAAGACACTGAATATGTGAGGATTTCACTCAACATGGGAAGAGGCGGCGCTCTGATTGCTGCTTGACAGACAATTATTATCTAAGATTCTAAGATCCACGTATATTATTGGGCTTTGCCTGGATCATTGCATGTAAAAATGCACCCTCACAAGCTCACTTGCATTTACTTGCTTTGCAATTAAACATATCAAACATACCGATATAGATGTGCTGCAAAGTGCTGGTACGTAGTCAGATGACAAACGATTACCATTCCCAGTTTCAAAGTCTCAGTGGGACGCTGGGCGCTGAAGCGGCTGGATGACAAGGCTAGTGCCTGTGGAATCAACTTCTTCAACGTGCTGGTTCATTGGGCTATTTCTGTACCAGAAGCCCGCTGGAAATCAGGAGCTGTCCATTTGAGCCGATGTTTTGCATGAAAAGTGTATGTGGGACATGCCAACCAAGAGCAAATGGCCAGATCACTCTAAGTACAGCACTGCAAACTTTGTGCCCACTAAGTTCTTGCAAGTTCTTGGCTTGGCTTGGAATGTTGGTACAATGAAAGGACCAGATAACCCCACAAGATCCCACAAGTCAGTTTCTCCCAATAATCAGAAACAGTGGTTGAAGCAGCAGGGAGAAATAAGCAGAAAGGAAAATGGAGATGGTGGAGGATCAATAATTTTAAAAGTTGTATGTGAAGGGTTGTGTGACAAAGTTGTGTGTGAAAGATTGCCTGTGACAAAGTTGTGTGTGAAAGAACTGTGCGTGACAAAGTTGTGTGTGACAAAATTGTGTGTGACAAAGATGTGAGGGCAAAGTTGCATGTGGGAGATGTGAGAGAGACGTGTGTGAAAAGATTGTGTGTGACAAAGTTGTGGGTAAGAAAGTTGTGTGTGAGGGAGATGTGTGTGGAAAAGTTGGTGTGCGAAAGATTTGTGTGTGACAAAGTTGTGTGCGATAAAGTTGCATGTGGGAGAGATATGTGTGAAAGATTGTGCGTGACAAAGTTGTGTTTGACAAAGTCGTATTTGAATGTATTTGAGAGAGATGGATTCACTTGCAGAGTGGATGTCACCAATCGCCACAAGTGGCGCGGCGCCCCACGGCGACCAACGGCGACCAAGCGCGCCACCAGAGCCAGCCAAGTGCAACAAGATCAACAAGTGCCACGCCTGCCACGCCAAACGCAGGTAGATGTCTCCAAGTGCCACGCCTGCCACGTGAAACGAAGGTGGATGTCAAGAAGTGCCACGCTTGCCACGCAAAGTGGCGCGGCGCCTTGGGCGACCAACGGCGACCAACGGTGACCAAGCGCGCCACCAGAGCCAGCCAAGTGCAACAAGATCAACAATTGCCACGCCTGCCACGCCAAACGCAGGTAGATGTCTTCAAGAGTTGTGTGAAAGAGAATGTGTGACAAAGATGGTGTGTGAAAGATGGTGTGTGAAATGAGTGTGTTACAAAGTTGTGTGTGAAAAATAGTGTGTGAAAGAGAGTGTGTGACAAAGTTGTGTGTGTGTGAAAGGGAGTGTGTGACAAAGTGGCGTGTGAAAGATTGTATATGACAAAAAGTTGTACGTGACAAAGTTGTATGTGGCAAAAATGTGTGTGACAAAGTAGTTGTGTGACAGATTGTCATTGTGTGTGTGAAAGAGCTGTGTGTGAAAGATGGTGTGTGACAAAGTGGTGTGTGAAAGATGGTGTGTGACATAGTTGTGTGTGAAAGATGGTGTGTGACAAAGTTGTGTGTGAAAGATGGCGTGTGACAAAGTTGTGTCAAAGGGGCGGAGGAGGAGGCGGGACGGAGGCGGGACGGGTACAGAATCAAAAACAATAACCCCACACAAAGATGTGGGGAATAAAGTGATAAAGACTGCTTTGGTTGCTGCTACATGTTGCCACACATGCACGTATCATGAGATTCACTGTGCAGATCTGCGCAGTATAGATGGTAGAATTGTATAGATTTGTGGCTTCAGGCTTCAGGAAAAACTCAGGCTGCACCGGTGCAGTGCTGCAGGCGCTGTGATGGACCCTGCACCACCCAACTTTTGGCCCTCCATCGAACGGCCTTTGAAATTGCAATCTGTGGTGCCTGAGGCCGGAGGTGGTTTCTGGTGACAGAAGCTGTTCCTGCCGTTGCAACATGCAAATCTGTGGCACCGTTGCAGGCGCACGCAGCTGTGGCACAGGGCTGGGTTGGAGACGATCCTGCCAGTGATCCTTGGCGAAATGCTTGACTTGGATTCAAAAAAATCTAGCTCAGTGAGGCAGGCAAACTAACAAGACTTGCAGGGAAATTTTGCCCGTGTGCGTTGATAACACCTGAGAAATCATACATACGTACATACAAAAATGAGGAAAATAGATTAAATAGATCCTGTAAGTCCGTATAATTATTATTAATTATTTATAGCAGGGATCGTGATTCTACCCCCCAAGTACGTACATGTATGTCGATGCTGCATAGACAGGATGTACTTATATACATGTTTGGAATAGTGTGATGTGTGCATGTGGCCACGACCTCTCTTGATGTTCACATCCAGAGCATCCAGCATGTCCAGCACGTTCAGCAACTCAGGTATTGGTTCCGGTGCACGATCGGCCGGTGGAACAGGCGGCAGAGGCAGACGCAGAGGCACTTGAGATGTGGATGAGATGCTGCAATCATCTGCAATCTGAGAACGTAACTTGTTTATACCATATTTGGAATTTAGATGAAACATCATTGAATTGATGTGATTATATGTGATTGGTGTTCAAACTGGAGTGACTGGAGAATATGTCACAAAGTGCTCACTGTTTTGGCTGTGATGAGAGGGACATCCCAAGCGATAGGATTTCTTCAGACCTTCGCCGAATATTTGCAAGAGAAGGTAAAATAGCAGGGTGACAATGGACACCCAAACAATATAGAATCTGAATGCACAGCTGTTCACCGAGTTCCGGGAGAGTATGGAAGAATCCGATGACTCTAGCTAGAATGTAACAATGCTTTTGATATCAGAATCATAATATATCATAATAATATCATTTGATGCCACCCTTGATCCCCACAGAGAAACATATAGATAAACGTTCAGTCTCCAGATGATCGAGCAAGATTGAGCAGCATTCGAACAATTTCGAACATGCCTTGTGATGCCTTGTGGATCGGGACAGGCTGGACGAAAAGAGCATCGAATTTCTTTGTCTTCAGCCTGAGACAGGTCGAAGGTCCGGGAGGTCCACCTGTTAGCCACAGATAGCCCTTGCCTTGCCATAGGCATTTGCACAGGTTCGCTGTACAGTGGAATCAATCTGCATTTGCGTATGGATTAAGAACATAAATGAATTGCTTGCAGCACGCCCTGTTTGTGTTTGCATCATTGTAGATGCAACACCCGAAGTAAGTAATTATGCAGGTGTTGCGTGCAAACCTGTTTTGAACAACCAGCGCAGCAAAAGCTGATGGGTTGTTGACAACCGCTTTCAAGCGCGGTTCAAAGTACTGACAAAATTCCATAATTATTTCCACGATGGATTCTCAAGTTCTGGCACGAACAAAATGCAAATTGAATCAGATGCCTTTTCAGCCTGAGTGGACCGCAATAAGCTGATAGAGCTATCTTCTGAATAAGAGCTCTGACGTCTCAAGAGGCCGGATCAATTTGTTATTTTTTTGATTTTTTCGGAGCCCCATCCAATCCGTGGGCCTGAAGACCAGGCCCGTTAAAGACCAGCAACTGTAAATTACGGCTTTTCATGAGAAGTTCAGCGAGAAGCCGCAAGTATTTTACAACACGCGTCACTCGATCATGTATTTTCCATCTGCATTAGGTTTGTATTGCAGGTTCACCTGCAGTTGCTGGTTTGCTTGTGAGGAGGCCTTCTTTTTGCTCTCTTGAATCATGCCCTAATGGGCCTCGATGGAGAGTGGCCCTCGTTGTACAAGTCAGCTTGGGGAAATGTCCTGTGTGATAGCCGCTGGCTCACAAGCCAAGCAGAGCACGCATTTTTCCTCCCAGCTGCACATACTTGGAACTTTGAGACCTTGGCACTATGGAATTTCTTTGACCTCGGCCGGAGAAATGGATGACAAAGCAAGTTGCAGATGTTTGAATGGAGACCTTTCCAATCGGAAACAACTTCACGGTGATTATCGACAAATAGACATCCGATTCCATCGCGCTGATAAAGGTGATGATCCTTGTATTTTTATGTATTGTTTATCAACCGTGATTGTTAGTTACATATAGGTTATGATTGTGATGGATTGTTTGTAATCCAATCATTGTACGCTGATGATGTCAATGATAATTGTCGCAGAGGTTCACTAGCTGGCCCAATGCCTGTCAGAAGACAACAGCTGTTGGACTAGCTACACATTCCTTCAAGCGTTGTTCCTGGTTGCCTGCCCTGAGGAAATCAACAAGAAGTATGCCAGCGATGAGCCAAGAAGGCGTCCAGAATGAAGACCGGGAAGCTACAGGGAAGCTACAGGGAAGCCACAGGGAAGCTACAGGGAAGCTAAGCTCACAAGATGTTGAAGATGTAGGATATGTAATTAGACAGTGTCAGGTCTCAGCAAGTCAGTCTCTTGATAAAGAGGTGAAACCCTGAGTACACTACGCCAGAGTTTTCTCACCAAGTCCATAGCACCCTCAAAATACATTTTAAAAAAACCGACAGTGGTCATAGAGGCGCAGCTGTACTGGGAACCAAGATCCAAGTGAGGCACTCTGTAGACCTTGAACGGTAAGGGTGTTGTTGTATTCCTCCTTCACTTTACTTTGTACAAATCCTCGGCCATGCCTCTGAACGGAGTCCACGAGAGCTTCTCTCCCAGTCAACCATAAGGAGACGTTGGACAGGCTCAAAGTGTGGTAGAACATACGAGTTGCTGGTGAGGATGAGTACTGTAAGGTCCTGTAAGTCCATGTTCTCAAGATATATCATATTACAGTTATTACAGTATATAGTTTGTTTGTTTGCTTGGGAATTATACTTTGTAAATATTAATATATATGTATAACATATATATATATATTTATATATAGTACATATATAAACATTTTATATATAATGTTATGTTATAATGGTAGTGTATTGCTATATCATCATATATGCTATGTTATGCTATTCTTATTTTACATTCATCCTTACAGTTGATGCCCTCCAGAGGTTGGAAGAGCTGCGGCGCTTTGCTGAGTCTCAGGCCTATGTATCTCAGATGCAGCTGGCGGCAAGTTGTTGGTCCCGTTGTCTAGTTGTCTATCATTGAATTTTGTATTCGGATGCCTATAATGCCCATGATACCGATGATACGTATTATGACCACTGTCATCCTTGTGAAATCCTGTGAAATCCTGTGAACCTGATTTGGTTTGGATGCTTTCAGCGCTTTCCCTGCCCTCTTTTCTGTTCTGCATGTGTATCCAAGGCGGCACGCTTGTTGGGATTTGAGGGCATCTTGGCTGCCTTTGGCTGCCTTGGCAACGGCTTGGTCACAGGGCTGTGTCAAATACTTCGCAGATCTTCGCAGCTTCATTTGGGTCCACAGACCATGCAACAGTTTGCCGTGATTGGCACCCTGAAGCCAAAAGCAATGGTACCCCAAAATGACAAGTGATGTCAAAGTGCTACCTAAAGAGAGCAGATCTCAAGGGAATCGTCTTCTGATTGCTTCTCACTCCTGGTTTTCGCAAATAATACTGCGGTGTGCCATGCAGACTTAGAGTGCATGATGCATCAGAATGCACACACGTACTTCTTCATGCAAAGGCCAAGGTGAGCAAGAAATAGAAAGACACACTGTAAGCTTTTTTGAGCTACAAACTAGTCAACAATGTCAACACTAATTATTCAACAATTATGTACTCTTGAGATTCACTTGAGATCTCTTGTTTCTTGTTTTCTAGACGCTGCCACTACATAGATCACCAGGGGCTTCACTGCCATGGCCGGCGTTCGTTTGCGATTCACCTCAGCAGTTGCGGCCTTGTGGGGAATAGGCCTACTGCGGCCGAGTGCTTTCGCAGGCGGACGTCCAATGCAACAGTGCGTATTTTGGGCCAAGCGGCTGGGTAATTACATTACATGAAACTTTCATGAAACATAGAAAAATATTAATATGGACGGCCAGGCCCAGCAAGAGAGAATGAGAGAGATAAAAGTAAACATAGACAACGAGATTTACACCCTTTCGCTTCAGACATTCTGCCTCTCTCTATCAGGCCTTTGCCGCCAAAGTCGCTGGAATGCGGCTCGGAGCTTGCATGTGAAGCACAGGGAGCCTTGGAAACAACATTCTGAAGCAAACATTAATTAGTCTTGGCACATCTTGGCACAGTCTTGACACTTCCAGATTCTTCTTCTTTGACTTTTGGAACCTAAGTTTTATTGATCATCATCGTCGTATCTAACATACGTTTTAGGAGAGCACCTGCCAGCTTTATGAACTGGACATACCTGGGCCTTGTTGCCATTTGTTGCTAGAGGGACTGTTCCACTTAGGAGACTTATGTCTCAGCGGCTCCACTAGTACCGCGCGCTGCGAAGTCGAAGGCCTTGAAAACTTTGATGCGCATGAGAAACCACCGGCGACTTTGTTTCAAGATGTTCAAGGTGAAAGCTAATGGATATGCCGCGTACGCATCATGTATTCCTGCGATTTCCTGCGCATTTTTTGCCAACAAATCTCACCTGAAACTTGAAACTGGAAAGAGCTGCCCCCAAGATAGTAAAAAACGCTGACGGGAACCCCAGGCCCAATTTCTGAGAAGATAGATAGCACGTCCATGAACAGAATTGTTTCTCTGCCTTCGAGGGCTTTGGTGCCAGCGGCCCAGCAACCGGAAAAACAAACGCCAAAGCAGCTCCCAAGCCGACAACGCCGAAAGGTGGACAGAGGGATTTTGCATCTCATTTTGCAGGAGTTGAACAGTGGAACTAGGAGCAAAGAATTGTGGCTACAGTGGACATACCAATACCATCCATCAATTTGACAATTCGTATGTGTTGAAGTGGGAAATTTGGAGGATGAACACCGCTGCCGCAGAAAAGACATGATAAGACAGCCCAGGTCTTTTCTCTCATTTTTCTCGCACAACCCATCCAGGATCATCCAGGAATCTCCAGAAATCAGAAGAAACATCCGAGGGGAGCAACCACTCATGAGCATTCAGCTTTTTTGTAGGCTGCCGGTCGGTGATGGTCACTGGAAGGGATGGCAGCACTTGGCAGGTGGGACCTGTCGGTCTGTTTGGGTTCTGGGGTCCGAACAAAAAACATGTCGCTTTCGCTATTTTTTTCGCTTCGTTCGGAGGTGTTGATTGGAAAGACTGCAGAAGACAACGACCGCCTGTCGCTACAATATGGAAAACCCGATGAGGCCTTGTCCACTCGAACGGCAGCCTATAGAGACTTGCACATGCGTGTTTTGATTGTTTTGATGGATGGATGGACTGAATGATGGATAGGTTCGATAGATATGGAATGATATGGACATGGACATGGATAAAGAGGTGGATAGAGAAGGACAGACAGAGAGACAGAGAGAGAGGGAGACAGACACAGAGATACTGTACAGAGATACAGGGACACAGATAGAGAGAGAGAGAGAGTGATCCGGACGGATCGATACAACTTAATCTCTCTTTCTTTCTCTCTCTCTATGTGCAAATCTGCGGGCATGCATTCAAATTGCATGCTGCAACATTTTCAATTGCACACGATACATGATTATATGTTGTAATA